TCAAGTTCGTATAGCAACAGGCGTGACCAGAGTGGTTTGAACGGCTGTTGTACTGCGATGTGGAAAGCAAATGGAAAAACTACCACATTATCACTTTTCCTGGACAGTCTCTTTCCAAAAACAGAAGATCACATTAAGTGGAGGAACTGTTTTGGAAGAGACTGTGGACCTGTCATCTGACAGTTACTGATCAATCAATCAAGCCTCAAAAAAGCATCAGTAGCCCCGGTAAAGCCGCAAACCGGTTAATCTGCCGGTTAATCGAGAGTTGACTGTATAGTGAGAAAATACATGGTTGACATGGTTATGGGAATAAAGTTTAAATCAAGAAATACTCCCAGGTCTTCAGCAGAGTGGGTACAGGTTAGAGAGGATTCACAAATCTTATGCATGTCAATTTGCCTTGAGAAGGATATAACTTCAGTTTTACCAGTATTGAGTTTCATGTAGTTAGCAGTTCACCAGCCTTGCATAGACTCAGTGTTAGAGCCTGACTGAAATGCTGGAGATGCAGAGCTCATTGGGTGTAAATTCTGTAAGATTCAGTGCTTTGTATTCATATTTAAGTTGTCTTATGTGACATGAGAATCTCACAGCAGTTGTTATGAAGGATATAACACCGTGTAGTTTGTTGAAAGTCAGGAGACGTTTTGTCGACTTCATCTTCAGAGATTAAGAATAAGCCAAGCAAGATACCAGTGTGAAGTGGCTGTGCTTGCTACCTGCTCCATATTTGCTTCTTGCTTGGCTTACTGCTTTATCCTGAAGATGGAGTCATCATGTTCCTCCCAAAATGTGAGTTAAATATTTCTGGAGTATTATTAATGATGTTACATCCCAGAAGATAGGACACTCCCTCCCATAAAAGGTGTTTTTTAAGTGATATGACCTCTTGTGAAGTGTTCTTTTTATTTGGATATTTTTTAAATTCTAGACTGAGTCTTGGTTTGCTGTTACCAGGTGATGTGCAAGTACACAGAAGAGGTGCTACAAGGGTCATGTGGTCACATTTCACCTGCTACACTTGCTTCTATATTAGATCAAAAATCACTGAATATGAGTGAGTTAGAGCTGTTCGAGACACTTCTTCATTGGGCTGAAGCAGAATGTGAACGTCTGGGATTGCAGCCGACAGGTACCAACCGTCGAGCTGTACTTATGAAAGCAGGGGCCCTCTCAAAAATACGTTTTCTGGTGCTCACACTACAGCAGTTTGCTGAAGGCCCTGAATGTTCTGGAGTTTTGACGGCAGAAGAGATTAGAGCCCTAAGAGATGTTATTTCAGACATTGAGAATAATGCAAATGTTCTGCCTGAAAAAAGTGAACCGTTATCTGATATATACTGGAACAATTCTGTTGATGGTGTGTCTCATACTGCTGAATCTGATAATATTATTCCTAATAGTAATGTTTTGATGAATGGACCAAAATCACCTGAGAAAATCTCACGCTTATCAGTTCCCAATGGTATGAGCTGCTGCCTTCATCCTCGTAATCGCATTGCAATTAAACAGTTTTATTGTGCAAGGCGGTTTCTCAAGACAGCCGTAACAGTGTCTGGAAGACTCAGGCTTCTGACCAAAGTGCAAGCCGACAGGAGCGTCACGGTGATTGGAGTGCGAGTATTTACACGACTTATACCTCAGCGAGAATTTACTTATGCTCCTGCATTTCCTCGTGACTATCGAGAAAACATGGAAGTGTGTGTGTTGGATTATGAGGGAGTGCCCCTGTGTCGAACTGTATACACTGATCTTGTAGAGTACAATACATTGGCCACTGTGACCTTGAGTGAACCAGTACGGTTTACGAGTGGTAAAGAATACAGTATTTTGCTTGTGCTGCCATGCAGTGGCGCTCGCACGCATCAATACCCTCTGAGTTTCATGTCTCAGACTGAGAAAACACATGGTATTGAGTTTCGGTTCTGTGATCATGCTGACATAGACGGTACAGGTGCCTTTGTTCGACGTTTAGATATGGGATTTGTAGATGCTATTGTATTTTCTTCATAAGTCTCATAAAGGATCTGATGCCTTTCCATAATGGAAAGTTGGGAATTTAAATAGATGTGCATACAATGGAAAAGACAGAATAGAAGTCTGGAGTGTGACGACTCTCCACAACTCCAGACTAGACATATTATTAGCTTTCATTGACATTACAGTCAGGAAAACTTCAATAACAGAATTAGCTCTTGCAAAAAGTTATGTATGTTCCCCTTGTTGATATTATTTCAGAATAGGATAGTGGTTTATAGATTACATAATTATATATGTTAGTATTTCAGAGTAGTGAAAGTGCTGGAAAATGGAAGAAGGAAAAGTTGCAGATTGATTTCTCTTAGCCAGGGTAACTCATTGGGTGCGGAAAGTAGGCTCCTGCCTGGATGACAAAGAATCCACATCTGACTCATGGCAGGGGCAAGAGATTTTCTCTTCCCCCACAGTGTCCGAACTGGCTCTGAGACCCACCCAGCTTCCTGTCTGGTGGGTACTGGAGGTGAAGGAGGCAGTGTTGGGTGTTCTGTTCCCAGGGGCCAGGGTGTGACACTGACTCCTCACCTCTGTCAAGTTCTGAGGTTAACATTGCATTGAGCTATACCTTAATCCATGTTTTCATCTTCATGGCAGTGCTCAATTAAACACAGAGACAACCCTACATTATGCCTTAATTGTCTCTTATAGCTCCATCTTCCCTACTTTGTTTTCAACTTACAGTTCTTCCAGCCTTTTCAAATGTTAAAGGCTTTCATGCACCCTATACCTCTAACACAGTCCATCTGATCAGTGACATCATTCTGCCATTCTGGCAGCACTGGTCACATTGAGAGATACACATTTAGATGTGATCCCTAGGTCAACAAGGGCTATAAGGTTTTCTGAGGGGTGACATAAGCATATGACTGATGGCCTGGCTCTTTGGCAAGACTAAAGGATAGAGGAAGAAGAGTCAGGCTGTTTTGTAAAGGTTGCTGTCATCGCCCTTGTATTCACCATAGTGGCCGCACTGATACACGTTTTCTGTTCCTTCAGTCACTTTGAATACTCAGTGTTCTATAATTTCAGTTCCCTCTGGTAATTAATCACTCTAGCCATCACCACTGGACTAGTACACTTCTGGTCTAAACTATCCAAGTCTGATTGCCTTCCTTAACTATCCATTGCACCTCTCAGGCAACCTTCATTAACTACTCACTGCAGCTGTCCTGACTTCATAAGGGTCACTATTGTCCATAAAGTAAAACAAACCCTTTTGGCAAAATAACGTCCATTTTCATTGGATAAATATCTTTATCTAGCTCATTAGTGCAGTCCTACATCCAATCAGGATCACTGACTTCTCTGATTGAGAAAGTCTCCCAGAGGTGTTCTCCCATTTATGTTTTGATGCTGTTTGTCATGTAAGTCAGTCTGCTAAGGCAGAACTGTTTTCCAGAACTGCAAATCTGGGAACTAGGCAGCTAATTACATAAAAATGTGGCCTTCCCTTGGTAACAGTATTGCTGTCAGAAACTTTAACAGTCAGACCTAGAGGCCTGTAATAATGTGTAAGGTACTTTGGTAACTGTGCACACAACAGGTAATAAATAAAACTGATATTAAAAGTGTTACTATTCTGTTTTAATATATTGTGGCATGTTTAACTGAAAGCCAGAATTGTGCAACAGAGACAGGCATTGCTAGGGAACAGTTCTGCAAACATGCCCATTGCTCAGCAATGGCTCAGTAGCCATCACGTGAAGGCCACAACAATATGAGAGCTGTTGGAAGCGGTTTTTTTGTGTGGTCCATGTCAAGGCTGTATAATGTGGACCAGCTGCCATTACCAGTGAGTCAGGAGAGAGCCTGCAGGCAGGCGGTCAGTCGAGAGTTGCAGAAGGAAGGAAGCCGCTGCCAAGCAGCACAATGAAGACCGTGACTGAGAACCCTAGTCTCTGTGAGAATGATTTGTAAAGTGTAGTCACAAGTTGTATCAGAGTCCAGTAAATCCTATTACCAATCCAAACCCGTTTGTAGTTACTCTGTTACAAGGCAATATGTATCCACTACAGTTGCATGTAAAAGATCATTATGAAGTGGTACTCATGACTTTGTATACCCGTCATTGAACTGTGTATGAGAAGTTAATCTGTATTTTTGTAATCATATGGCTGTAGTAAAACAGCAGCATTTACATTTAAATATAAGATATTGTCACATGTATTAGTGACTAATAACGCGGCTTCTGGAGTGGATGAACGGGTTCATTTAATCCTTTTGCACACCACCAGTAATTACAGCACTGTCACTATTTCTGCACTTTATAAATCACTGTTACACACTGAGCAACTCCTCCCCTCTTTATTCCTTCACTGCCAAGAGATCAATGATGTACCAGGCGGTGCCAGACTCATGAGGATCGTGGCAAAACAGGCGACCAAGAAGGTCAGCACGATTAAGCTGCCTGACAGGCAGTATACTCAAACAGGAAGGGAGACACTGAATGAACTATTCAGGGTTCACTTTCCTGATTCAAAATTGATTGATAAGTTGGACAGTGGACAGGGTCAGCAAAACCTGGGCACTTGCCAAAGCAAGACGAACAGGGCAGACTGGAACCTGGCCAAAGTCATACTTAACCAATCAAAAATCAGATGGCCACTGAATACCTTTAGACCATTTAAGTCAGCGGGAACAGATGGAATTGTACCGGCACTTTTGCAGCATGGGGCAGAACTCTTAGTTCCACACCTATGCCTCATATATAGAGCCTGCATGGCATATGATTTTATCCCCATGGCATGGAGGCAAGTTAAGGTGACATTTATCCCAAAGCCCGGGAAACTAGATTACACCGAGGCTAAGACTTACTGCCTTATCAGCCTGTCGTCTTTCCTTCTGAAAACGATGGAGAAAATAGTGGATAGGCATATCAGGGACGGGGCATTGAGGACATATCCTCTACACCGAAACCAGCATGCCTACCAAACACGTAAATCTACCGAAAGCGCACTGCACAATGTGGTAGCACGCATAGAAAGTGCGATTGAACACAACAATATTGCCTTAGGAGCATTCTTTGACATAGAGGGAGCTTTCAATAGAACCTCATTTGATATAATCAAACAGGCCGCTGGAAAGCATGACATAGAGCCTGCAATATGCTGCTGGATCAGTGCTATGCTGGAAAGCAGAACCATAGCTACCACACTATCAGGAGAGACCCTGAGGGCGTCCACGTCTAGGGGGTGTCCGCAGGGGGGCGTGCTCTCGCCTCTGCTGTGGAGCCTGGTCATTGGCAATCTCCTGTGGGGACTTAATGATGATGGGTATTATACAGTAGGATATGCTGATGACATAGCAATCCTCATAAACGGAAAATTCCTTTCGACAGTATCAGAGTGCCTTCAAACAGTTCTGTACATGGTTCGGTAATGGTGTGAAAGAACAAGTCTTTCCATCATTCCCAGTAAGACGGTAATTATACGTTGTGCATTCAAGTTCTAAGGTCTCCGATTTTTTTTCTCACACAATAATCATACAAAAAATTTGAAACTTCTGTCACTTTTCAACGTAATCTCCCTGCAGCCGTACACGTTTTCCAGAACGTTGACGCCATGATTGCATGGCCGCTGCGAATGTTTCTGTAGGAGTCTGTTTTGACCACTGGAAAATCGCTGATGCAATAGCGGCATGACTGGTGAATGTGTGACCACGGAGAGTGTCTTTCATCGTTGGGAAAAGCCAAAAATCGCTAGGAGCCAGGTCAGGTGAGTAGGGAGCATGAGGAACCACTTCAAAGTTGTTTTCATGAAGAAACTGCTGCGTTGCGTATGCCCGATGCGCTGGTGCATTGTCCTAGTGAAAGAGCACACGTGCAGCCTTTTCCGGCCGTTTTTCTCGCAGTGCTGGAAGGAGCTTGTTCTTCAAAACATCTTGGTAGGATGCACCTGTCACCGTAGTGCCCTTTGGAACGCAATGAGTAAGGATTACACCATCGGTGTCCCAAAACATGGCCACCATCATTTTTTCAGCACTGGCGCTTACCCAAAATTTTTTTGGTGGTGGTGAGTCTGTGTGCTTCCATTGAGCTGACTGGCGCTTCGTTTCAGGATTGAAAAACGCCATCCATGTCTCATCCATTGTCACAATTGATGAAAAGAAAGTCCCATTCATGCTTTCATCACATGTCAACATTGCCTGGCAAATTGCCATGCGCGCATCCTGGTGGTCATCTGTCAGCATTCGTGGCACCCACCTGGAGGACACTTTCCGCATTCACAGGTCTTCATGCAGGATTGTGTGCACAGAGCCCACCAAAATGCCAGCTTTGGAGGCGATCCTCAAAAACAACTTTCTCAACTCGCTCAACCATGTTCTCAGACCGGCTGGTGCG